GTCAATTAATTTTAACAATAACATATTAGATATGCATAATTTGCACAGATAAGCACCACAGTCAATGGAACTGTCTTGTTTGGGTACAAACTGTTGCAATAATAAACTAAAATTTGTAAGATTGTACATACCACTTCATAGTATGTTTGTATAGTCTGAAAAGTTAAACTTCTGTGTGTGCACCCCTACCTTTTTCTTCAAATACATTGCCAGCACACTATTCAATTTGAACAACAAAACATTAATTCAAATAAAATTTTGATTCATACCAGCACTTGCTTGTTTTGTCATAGTAAAATATTTTTCAATAGAATCAAAATTAAAAAAATTGATTTATGAGGCTTAATAACCTATACAAATCCGCTATTAATATATTGTAGACATTTAAATTTGAAAAAGAACTTACAATTAAAATCTAGTGGCTTCTGACATGACAAGGCATTACAATGGATTAAACTTCACTTACATCATATATAATCCTAATTTTATAGTGTTAAAACATAGATATTATACATACAGCTGTAATGAAATAACTTACATAAAAGTATCAGTCAACAGTCTCATCAGGTTGATTTGCAACCAATTTACTAAAGATTGCTGTTGGTAATACACAAAACATAATTATTACTCTAAAAAATTGCAGTTTTTATTTAATAATAGTCATCCTATAGCCTACATTGTATTCCTGCTTATATTCACTGTAAATGGTAATTCCTCTGAATATATTGATTGAAGATATAGACTTGCACCAAATAATATAGAAAAATCATTAAAATGGTGTCACTGAACTCCTATTAAGAATAACAAATAGAATTCAAGAGATGGTTCAGTATTGTGATGCTTCATGCAGCCTGTAGTAGCAATTTTGATAAAGTTACATTTTCGCTAACATGACCTCTTCTATTGGTCCTAGCATAGTTAATACGTACATAAATTTATTGTCCAAGTATAGAAATGTTTTAAAGACAGACTATCCATGAATGATTGTCCTTTACATGGATATTTATGGTCCTGTCGGGTCCACATCAGTCCGTCCGTCCGTCCGTCCTTTTCGGGCGGGGCGGGTCCGTCCGTCCGTCCGCTTTTGAGACCCTACCGCTTTTGGTACCCTACCGCCTTTTAGGGGCCTGCCTGAAATACGGATCCACGCGGATCAAATGCGGATCAGGCTGAAATGCGGATCAACGCTGAACGCTCGCGGATCTCTATTGAAACT